CACACACACACACACACACACACACACACACACACACACACACACACCAGAGTGAAGAAGACAAAGTTGAAAGAGAGGAGGAACAAGCTTAAAACCATCTCAGCTGGTGGATGATATTGTAACAATGTTCCTCCATGACTAACATCGGACCACAATGTTTCTTGGTCATGAGTTCTACTTGAAATCTTTCCACAGATAACCAGTGCACTCCTGATAAAATGATACTGTTCATACACAATCGCAGTAACAGAGAGTACGGTGCTGCTGTCGGACAGCCACGTGTTTACAGCATCAGTGTGCTCTGTTCCACTCACCGCCCGGCAGAAGAGTCCACAGCCGGGGCAGCAGTGGTGCTTGACCATACCGGCCCGGTGGTCCTCGCACAGAACCAGCAGATGGACCGTGTTTGAGGGTCGCATCATTTCCTGCTTCATCACTCGCCTCTGGCACCGGATCAGCTGAGGAGAAGAGATGATGATGATGATGATAATAATAATAATAATAATAATAATAATAATAATCAGACTGTACAACATTAAAACCAATAGGGTTCCAGTACTGTTGGTGTATTTGGACCCTTAATAATCTTACCCAGCAACAGCTTCTATTGAGCTTACACATAACTGTATATACAGCTCTGGACCACTTCACTTCTCTGGTTTTATTGGTATGTGTTTGAGTAAAATGACATTTTTTGTTTTATTCTATGAACTACTGACAACATTTCTCCAAAATTTCAAATACAAATATATTCATTTAGACAATTAAATCTTATTTAATGAAGTATAAAACCAGTGGTGTTGTCATCACTATCCTCTTCTGTAGACCAGCTGGACGGCAGAAACAGTGCTAGAAGAACCTCAAAAGTAATTAGGATAATAAAAGTGACTACGGACCGCGCCAAAAGAGTTAAAACAAAGCTTTGAGTGAGGAGAAGAAGGGTTCACTTCTGGTTTTACTAGCAGAGGGATACAGCGAGTGTCAGGTTGCTTCCATCCTTAACATTTCAAAGACGGCGGTTCATAAGAAGGTCCAGCAGCAGACATGAGGGACAACAAACTACAGACCGGCAGAGGACGAAAACCACCGGGATGAACGCCAACGCATTCGACTGTCACTCAACAACCGTAGGCGCAAAATAAAAACAACCCGGCTGAATATCTATGATCAGAATCATTATAACTGCTGCTGTGTAAAGGCAACACTGCTGCTAACAACAACCTGATGTGTTTAAACCAGATGTTATTGCCCTTTTGTTCATATAGCAGTACTTTAAAATAAAAGTGCACAATACACTACTTTTGAATTCATTATTGAACTTTGCCATAACAATGAGATTAATCGCAATTAAAAGTTGTAATCGTTGTCCAGCACTAATATATATAGATCTATATCTATAGAGATCTATATCGATCTATATCTATAGAGATCTATATCGATCTCTATAGATATACGTAGATAGATAGATAGATAGCATTGTTTCATTACTTCAGAGGATGTTACCATTCCATCCGTGCTCTCCATGGCCATGCAGCTCTGCTCCAGTGTGGAAACGTTGCCTCCGCTGTGAGGAGTCTCCATGCGACAGCAGCACAGCGGTAGCTCCTCAGCCAGGTCCGTTTCTGTCACCTCAGCTGCTGCTCCTGCACACACACATCCCATTATTCCACCACTAATCACAGCAGGAAACTCACCTGTGACCTATACAGATGGATTGGAGAAAAACCTTGAAGGCAAATGAGTCAGTGAGATGCTGTTGTCACCTGACGAGGGAGGCGAGAGCAGCTCTTCCTGAGCCTTCAGATCGAGACAGTCCAAGGCCAGCTCTGTGTATTCAGCATGGCAGCCTTCTCCAGGCTCCGCCTCCATCAACGACTCACTCTTGATGGCTGTCGGTTCTCTGCTCTTCACCGTCTCTGGTAGAATGCCTGCTGTCTCATGTGCTGCAGCTCTGTTCTTCTCCACACTGGGTCCTGGTTCCTCCTTCTGATCAAGAAAAGGAACATTTGTATCAGTGACAGCTGGTGACACGTATTCTGTTATTTGTCATATTTTAAGCCTCCATTCCATGTATGGACTCAGGACTACGTGATATACGCGCTCTCATGTTCCAAAAGATGAAGCAGTGTTTCATTCCCACACTCACTACGCAGAGTGTAATTATTTAAAATAAATTATTCTCAGTTATGTTGCTAGTTAACTTATTTTTCCCTTATATGTGTTTGTGATCAGAAATAAAGCCAGTCACTCTCTTCCTATGGCTTAACCTCACATTCACTACTTTTATGCAAACAATGTAAACATGTGGATCGTACCAACAACAACTAATAAAAGAAGATGGTATTACTCCTGTATTAGTAAGGGGTCAAATTACTGTTGTAATGGGAAATTATGTTATAGTATAGATCGTAATACAGATATATTGACCACGTATAAGTTAGGTTATGTTATAGTGTCATGTGAAATGTTAGAGAATGTACAACTGAAAGTGTGGAACACAGACAGACACAAAACAGTAGTCTTGCAGAAGATATTAATTAGTTTTGTATCAAGGTGTCTTGTTATCTTTTCCCACAAGGGTGGGAAGTGAAGAGACACTGTTTCTTTGTTGGTAAGACAGAGACACAGAGACAAGACCTTGACTCCAGAAACTAACGTCCGCAGGAACAGACAGCCTGTGTCTGAAATATCATACTCCCTTTTTAACACATTATCTGAAGTTGTAAAGGCGTGAACCTTTGTATGCATAAATGATGTTGAATATTGCACTTCGTCGAAGAAGCATTCACGCAGTCTACTGAATACCTAGTTGCTGTGCTTTCTTCCCTCTTGCAAGAGAATGAACGGAAAAAGACAACTTTGAATCTTCTGATGACTTCATTATTGATTTGAGAACACAAACTCTCTCCTCCCGATTAACCTAGAAATTTTCCACCACACTGTCAAATTACTGTCACATTACTGTCACCATCCACAAGAACAAATGAGATCCAAACAAAGTGAAGCTTGCGAGGAGAAAACTATGATTTGAGTGCGAGGAGCGTTGCTTCCATCGTTGCTCTTCTGATCGCCCGCCAGTGAGTTTTGCTAGAATACCAGCTGGGAAACATAGTGGAGTATCCCGTTGTAGCTAAAAAGTCATTTTGTCTCAGGAGTTGGTGGAGACCAAAACAGCTGAAGTACTACATGTACCTCTGAGATGCAGTACAGTACAACGTACTACATGTACCTCTGAGATGCAGTACAGTACAACGTACTACATGTACCTCTGAGATGCAGTACAGTATGAAGTACTACATGTACCTCTGAGATGCAGTACAGTATAAAGTACTACATGTACCTCTGAGATGCAGTACAGTACAACGTACTACATGTACCTCTGAGATGCAGTACAGTATAACGTACTACATGTACCTCTGAGATGCAGTACAGTATAACGTACTACATGTACCTCTGAGATGTAGTACAGTATAACGTACTACATGTACCTCTGAGATGCAGTACAGTACAACGTACTACATGTACCTCTGAGATGTAGTACAGTATAACGTACTACATGTACCTCTGAGATGCAGTACAGTATAACGTACTACATGTACCTCTGAGATGTAGTACAGTACAACGTACTACATGTACCTCTGAGATGCAGTACAGTATAAAGTACTACATGTACCTCTGAGATGTAGTACAGTATAACATACTACATGTACCTCTGAGATGCAGTACAGTATAACATACTACATGTACCTCTGAGATGTAGTACAGTATAACGTACTACATGTACCTCTGAGATGTAGTACAGTATAACGTACTACATGTACCTCTGAGATGTAGTACAGTATAACGTACTACATGTACCTCTGAGATGCAGTACAGTATAAAGTACTACATGTACCTCTGAGATGCAGTACAGTATAACATACTACATGTACCTCTGAGATGCAGTACAGTATAACATACTACATGTACCTCTGAGATGTAGTACAGTATAACGTACTACATGTACCTCTGAGATGTAGTACAGTATAACGTACTACATGTACCTCTGAGATGTAGTACAGTATAACATACTACATGTACCTCTGAGATGTACTGGTGTCTGTATGGTGTAGACCTGCTCTTAATACATAAATAATATAATATATAAATAATATAATACATAAATAATATAATATATAAATAATATAAATAATAAATAATACAAATAATATAAATAATATAATATAATACATAAATAATGTAAATAATATAATAAATAAATAAATAAATAAATAAATAAATAAATAAATAAAGGACCGGCCTTCTCCTGCTGCTTCAGGGTCTTGGCCTTCTTCTTGGGGACCAGGTTGTACATTCCCATCTTCCGCTTCCTTCTCTTCACAGCTAGGAGAAGCACACAGACTGGGGTTAGGTGGTGACCAGAGGTCATCCGTGGGAAATAATGCCTAAAAGAAAAACATCCAATCACCTGTATTATTATTATTATTATTATTATTATTATTATTATTATTATAATAATAATAATAATAATAATAATAATAATAATAATAATA